TTTTTTTGAGACGGAGTCTCGCTCTGTCGCCCGGGCTGGAGTGCAGTGGCTGGATCTCAGCTCACTGCAAGCTCCGCCTCCAGGGTTTACACCATTCTCCTGCCTCAGCCTCCCGAGTAGCTGGGACTACAGGCGCCCGCCACCTCGCCTGGCTAACTTTTTTGTATTTTTCAGTAGAGACGGGGTTTCACTGTGTTAGCCAGGATGGTCTTGATCTCCTGACCTTGTGATCTGCTGTCTCGGCCTCCCAAAGTGCTGGGATTACAGGCTTGAGCCACCGTGCCCAGCCTGAAAACATTCTTTTTCTAGTCAACCCATTGGGAGATGAAATACAGTAGACACCAACATTTGCATGAAAATGTCACGATGAAAGCACTGAGGCCTTACGGGACACCGGCACTGGGGAGGTGCTTTTGAGCACCCCGGGGGTCCCCGCCTTCTCCCTCTGCCACGGGCCCAGGTGTTCTGGCTCCTTTGTCGCCTTCCCGCCATCTTAGAAAGTGACTGAGGTCTTTTGAATTCCGGGGGCTGGTCTGAACCTTCCAAGAGCACAGATTTTTACGGCTTGAAAATGACTGACCTTAAGGCTCAGTGAATCCACAGCTGACTGAAGGTTCCAGAGGGGAGGAGGAGGGGCTGGCTTGGGGTCACACAGCCAGAGGCAGGGGCTGAGCAAAGTTCCCAACAGCGACTGTCTGCCAAAGGTCAGCCCCTGCCCGATTGGCCACCACAAGGCGGGGCTGAGCCAGTGGGCAGGGGTAGAGTGGGATGGAGCGGGAACCGACTGGCGGCCTCCCGTCCTACCTGCGGTGAGCCTCCTAGGCCAGGCTGCTCGGGGCTGTCCTGCTGCTGGACCGCCAGGGGCAACGGCGCTCACGTCCCACACTGTTGCGGGTGGCCTGGCTGGCAGGGGTCCCTGTGGGGATAGCGTGGCTGCGGTTGGTGAGGGGATTGGGGCGGGAGGGGGGTGGCGGTGTTAGATTCTGCAGGCTCTGCTCTGAGCCCCCGCCCAGCCCAGAAACCCCACTAGCCTGGGGCCTGAGAACAGCCACGCCACTCCCTCCTGAGAGCCCACCGCGCCACAGCTTGGAGGAAGAGCCTGCGGGGAACTGGTTGCGGGACGCTGTCTTCTTGAGTGCAGGTTTGGCCAATGTCGGGGCCTCAGGGCTCGGGTAGGGGGTGCATGCCAAGAGCCAGGGAAAGGAAGCCTGGGTCCCAGATGGACCCCATGCCGCCCAGGCAGGCCTCCTATGGATCTGCTGGGAGCAAAGCTGGACTCTGTTTCTTAAAGGGGGGTATGGGCTCTCTGTGGGCCATGACTAGTTTCTGGATCCCTCAGGAACACTAGGGAACTCACATCCTGGTTCCTCAAGGTGCTAAGGGCCAGAGGGTGCCACCCCCTGAACTATCCAGCAAGAGAGAAAGGGGACATGGGGGGCTGGTCCTTAACAGGATGCCGCTGAGGGCCAGGCGGGCGGCCGTCACCCTAGTGGGTGCAAAATGGCGCCAGGCTCCTTGGGAGGGCAGAGGGTGAGGCCTGTCATCTGGGGCCAGGGGAGGCAGCGTCTGCATGTGGCCAACAGCAGTGGGGACATGGGCTGTGAGGCCAGGCTGGGGCAGGTGTGGCCTACCCCTACCCCCAGGGTGCCCTAGAGATGCCCAGCCCAAGGGCATGCCTGGGTGCAGATTCAGAGCCAAGGGCCTGGAAAGGCTCTGAGGCCCCCAGTCCACAGTGAGCTCCTCACGAGAGGCTGCTGGCCCTGGAAGGGGAAAGTGGGGGCATTTCAGAGTCCAGTCCTTCCCAGCTCCTGCCATTCCTGGGGTCTGGGCTTCTGCCCCCACGGGCTCCCTGGCATCTGGCACCCCACCCTGTCCCAGCTCCTGCTTTCCTGTCTCTCTCTTCCTCATTACCCCCCACCCCCAACATCTGTTCCCCCATCTGCTCTGGGGAACTCTGGATGGGTGGAGAAGGCAGAGACTCTGGTCTCCAGGCCCTGAGGCCCAGGACAGAGGGCGGGGGCTGAGGTGAGCAGAAAGTCCCAGAACTCTAACTTCCGGTCCCCACACCCTGAGTTCTGAAGGGAACCCAGGTGTCTGCTTCCCCTGACCCCATGGGGATCCCATTGTCCCACTCCCAAGCCCCAGAGCCACCCAGGTTCCAGCTCCCAGCATCCCTTTCCTCAGCTCAGCTCTCTGGGCTTTGCACTGGGGTGGGAAAGGGTTAAGGGTGGGGTACCGGGGGGGGGTGGGTGGGTGGGGGTGGGGGGGGGGTGTGGTTGTGTTGCGTGGGGGGGGGGGGGTGGGTGGGTGGCAGAGAGGCCGGGTTGTTTGGTGATAATCCCCTTCCGTGCCCAGGGTGTGGAAAACAAGGTTAGGGCCCCATGTGGGAAAGGCCATGGCTCTGATCCCCGCAAGCCTGGGCCTCGGTCTCTCACTTCTGATCCCCCGCCAGGCAACCCTAGCCTGTCCCCTTCCCTCCCCTCCCCAGGGCCTGCTGGGCTGGGTGTCTCTGAGCCCACCTGCCTGCCTATCCCAGCCCCCAGGCTGTCCGAGCCTCAGTCTCCCGGCTCCCTGTGGCCTCTGGGTGCCTGGCCTCTCGGCCTCCTGTCTGTTCCTCTGTCTTTGCAGCAACTTCTCTGTGCTGTGCCCTCCCCCAGGCTGGCTATCCTCTCTCTGCCTCTGTTTCTTTGTGACTGAGTCTTCGACTATCCCTAAGCCCCCTCTCCTGCCCAGCCCTGCTTTCTCCGTGTCCCTCTCTAGGTTTCCACGTCTGTTGGCCTTGGCCAGCCCCTCTGCTCCAGCCGCTCACCGCTCCCCAGGGCCCCCTGCCCCTCGACACTGATGGATAACTCTGGGGTGTTAAGCTATGGATTAGTTCAGGCAAAATTCTCGATTTTGTCTGCGTTCTTTCCCCTTTGGGTTATGTAAACAGTAATTCTCCCCAGATGGAACTATTTTCCTCGCTTCCATGCAGCCGGGGACTGGGCCTGGACGGGTTGGGGGTGGAATGCTCCAATTCCACAGGACGCCTCCAGGAGGGGTAGAGGCTGCGGCTGAGGTCCCCAGCCCAGCCACCTCTCTTCCCTCCAGGTGCTGGCTCTGCTGTGACCATGCCCGTGACCTTTGCCCTCCTGCTCCTCCTGGGCCAGGCCACTGCGGACCCATGCTACGATCCACAGGGCCGCCCCCAATTCTGCCTCCCGCCAGTGACACAGCTAGCTGCTGTGGCGGCCTCCTGCCCTCAGGCCTGTGCCCTGTCCCCAGGAAACCACCTTGGCCCCGGGGAAACCTGCAATGGCAGCCTGACTTTGGCCCTGGGTGGCTCCTTCCTCCTGACATCTGTCAGCCTGCGCTTCTGCACCCCAGGACCCCCAGCCCTCATCCTGTCTGCTGCCTGGGCCTCAGGGGGTCCCTGGAGGCTGCTGTGGCACAGACCCGCCTGGCCTGGGGCCTTGGGGGGCCCTGAAAGCGTGACCTTCCACTCCACACCAGATCCTAAGGCCACTGTGGTGGCCAGCCACCTCCGCGTGGAGTTCGGGGGCCAGGCTGGGCTGGCGGCGGCTGGGCTGAGAGGCCGCTGCCAGTGCCATGGCCATGCTGCCCGCTGTGCCGCCCGTGCCCGGCCCCCCCGCTGCCACTGCCGCCACCATACCACTGGCCCGGGGTGCGAGAGCTGCCGCCCGTCCCATCGAGACTGGCCCTGGCGGCCTGCTACGCCCCGGCACCCCCACCCTTGCCTACGTGAGTCCTGCGCCCTGTACTCTCCCTACCTTTGCCTGCCTGCCACTGGGTCCTTTGTCCCTACGGAAGCAGAATGTTCCCTTCCCTCCCTGGAACTGGGTGCTCCTTGCCTCTCACCCCAGTCTCAGACTCAGTCCTCTCTGTACCTCCTCCCTGCAGCCAGTCGTGTATCTCAGCCACACATGGGCCTGTCTGCTCATGAGGGGCTCAGCCTCTCCCCAACACTCATCAGCCTGTGATAATGGTGATGATGATGATGATGGTAGTGATGGTGGTAATGGCGATGATAATGGTGATGGTGGCGGTGATGGTGGTGGTGATGATGGTGGTGGTGGTGATGGTGGTGATGATGGTGGTGGTGATGATGGTGATGATGATGGTGGTGGTGATGATGGTGATGATGATGGTGGTGGTGATGATGGTGATGATGGTGGTGGTGGTGATGGTGGTGGTGATGGTGATGATGATGGTGGTAGTGATGGTGGTAATGGCGATGATGATGGTGATGACAATGGTGGTGATAATGGTGATGGTGGCGGTGATGATAGTGCTGGTGGTGATGATGGTGATGATGGTGGTGATGATGATGATGGTGGTGGTGGTGATGGTGATGATGATGGTGGTGATGGTGATGGTGGTGATGATGGTGGTGATGATGGTGGTGGTGGTGATGATGGTGGTGATGATGATGGTGATGATGGTGATGGTGGTGGTGATGATGGTGATGATGATGATGGTGATGGTGGTGGTGATGTGATGGTGACGATGGTGATGATGATGGTGATGGTGGTGGTGATGGTGGTGGTGATGATAGTGGTGGTGGTGATGATGGTGATGATGATGGTGGTGGTGGTGATGGTGGTGATGATGATGGTGATGATGGTGATGATGATGGTGATGATGGTGATGATGATGGTGATGATGGTGATGGTGATGATGGTGACGGTGATGATCATGGTGATGATGGTGATGATGATGGTGATGATGGTGATGGTGGTGGTGATGATGATGATGATGATGGTGATGGTGATGGTGGTGGTGATGTGATGGTGATGATGGTGATGATAGTGATGGTGGTGGTGATGGTGATGATGATGGTGGTGATGGTGATGATGGCGATAGTGGTGATTATGGTGGTGGTGATGATGATGATATAATAACTATTTCCGAGCACCCATCCCAGGGCCTGGCTGGATGCAGGTACTTGGGTAATATTTATTGAACAGTTGTAGGGGAACAGGGCAGCTGGATGGTACCTGACTCCTCAAACCAACCACAAGGGGAAAGTATTCGGTCATTAAACACATATTTATCAATCACCTACTGTGTGCCAGGCAGGGACTGTCATCAGGCCCATTTTACAGATGAGGAGACTCAGGGCTAGAGTTCGGAAGTCCCCTGCACAAGGACACACAGTGGCTGCGTGTGGCAGGGCCAGGATCTGAGCTCAGGAAGCCAAGTTCTGGGGTCTCAGCCCATCCCTGCCAAGCTCCTGCCGGATACTGTCACACCAGGTGCTCTAGGGTGGCAGACAGGAGGTAACAGACAGGAGCACGGCCTTGGTGGCCTGGCAGCCAGACTATTTGAGCTTGAATCCCGGCTCCTCTGCTTACCCGCTGTGAGAGCTTGAGCAAGTGACCTAACCTTTCAGTGCCTCAGTTTCCTCCACCGTAGAGTGGGGATAGTAACAGCACATCCTTTACAGGCTGTAGTGAAAATTAAATGCATTAATATACAAAAAGCCTTTAAATAAAGCCCAATGTGGTACCTGGCAGAAAGAAACGGCTTCCTGAGCGCCGGCCAAAGTCACCACTCCCCAGCTGAGAAGGTAAGGCTCAAAAGAGAGGTCACTTGCCCTAAGTCTCATTGCCAGCAAGGGATTGAACCCAGGGAGCCCTGAGTTCCTAGATGCTGCAACAATCCACTGCTCTATCCAGCTGGACAGGTGCCCCCCAGGAATGTCCCGTGAGATGTCCTCTTTCCCGAAGGTGCTTCCAGACCGGGCCTTCCCTACCTCTCTCCAGCAGCCCCTCCTCAGAGACAGCCAGTGTCAGTTCCTTCTGGCCCTGACCCGCTCCCTCCTCCAGCCTGAGACACTTGGTAGAGGGTCTGAGGTCCTGGGAGGTAACTCTACCAACAGACACAGACACACACACGTGTGCAAGTGTACCCTGGCCTTCCCTCTCCATCTCCCATGCTCTTTGCCTCCCAGCCCTCTATTTCTTTGTTTTTTCTTTTGAGACGGAGTCTTGCTGTCACCCAGGCTGGAGTACAGTGGTGCCATCTTGGCTCACTGTAACCTCCGCCTCTGGGGTTCAAGCCATTCTCCTGTCTCAGCCTCCTGAGTAGCTGGGATTACAGGTGCACACCACCATGCCCAGCTAATTTTGTATTTCTAGTAGAGATGAAGTTTCGCCGTGTTGGCCAGGCTGATCTCGAACTCTTGACCTCAGGTGATCCGCCAGCCTCAGCCTCCCAAAATCCTGGGATTACAGGCGTGAGCCACTGTGCCTGGCCTCCGCCCCTTTATTTCTTCATACATGAAGATTACATGGGCTAACTTACAGACCATCCCCATTCTTTGGCCAAATCTTTTACCTAAGCAGGGGAGTGAGGGGTGAGACTCACCTGGCCTGAGGATGAGGTGGCCTTCATCCTGGGCCTGGACAGGGCCTGGGCACTGGGGAGGCTGTCCTCCTGAGGGTCACCACATTCTCCCAGACTGAGCAGGGCAGTGCCCTCCAAACCCGGGTAGGAGACTGACAATGCTGTGGTGGAGAAAGGTCAGGGTGGCCAAGTGAGACTAATGCCTGTGGCAGAGCTGTGGGCTTCACAGACATTCTGGTCTGCATCTCCCCTCCCTCATCTGAGTTTTCCACAGGGGAAGTGAGGTGAAGTGATTACCCTTGGGTCAGAAAGAATCCAAAGCCTGACTCAACCCACTGAGCATCTGAATACCTTTGCCACCTCAAATGCCCACAAAAACCCTGGGAGGGAGGGATCTGAATTCTCTCTAGACAGGGAGAAGAGAGGCTGGGAGAGGGCGAGTCATTTTCCCAAGAACACGCAGCTGTCTGAGCTCCCTGATCATCCTGCAACTCTTCCGGGCTCCCAGGGACCTGCCAGTCCAGGGCTTTCAAACTTCTTAGAGTCAACACACCCTGTCCAAGTCTCTTCAAAGAGTGTCCATGAACCTGGGCAGCATAATGAGTCCCCATCTTTGCAAAAAAAAAAAAAATTTTAAGTAGCCTGGTGCGGTGGTGCATGCCTGTGGACCCAGCTACTGAGGAGGCTGAGGTGGGAAGATCCCTTGAGCCCAGGAGTTGGAGGCTGCAGTGAGCTATGATGGCGCCATTGCACTCCAGCCTTGGCGAGAGTGAGACCCTGTCTCAAACAAAAAGTGGTCTATGAACCCCCTGCATCAGCATCTCACTCTGCAGTGCTTGCTGGAAATACAGATCCCTGGGCCCATCAGAAAGCCTAGGGATGAGCCCTGCAATCTGGCTTTTGTTGTTGTTGTTTTGGGTTTTTGCTTTTGTTGTTTGTTGTTTTGAGACCTTTTGCAACAGGTCTCACTCTGTTGCCCAGGCTGGAGGGCAGTGGTGCAATCATAACTCAATGCAGCCTCCAACTCCCCTCAAGTGATCCTCCCACTTCAGTCTCTAGAGTAGCTGGGACTTACTGGTATGGGCCACTATGCCCTGCTAATGTGTTTTTAATAAAAACGACAACAAAACATTTCCCTGGTAATTCTGACGAGTAGTAAGGTTTGAGAGCCACCTTAAAAAACCTGACAAATGCTCCCAGGATAATGCATATTTATTATTATTTAGCATAATCCTCATATGAGGATTACTGGAGTGAGCTAAGAGCTCAGACTCTCAAGTTAGAAGACCCGTGTTTAAGCCCCGCCTCCAACTACCTGCTAGCTGTACCTCTCTGTGCCTCCGCTTTCTCCCTCTGTAAAATGGGGGTGATAATAGTGCCAGCCTCATAGAGCCCTTGTGGAGATGAAATACATCAAACACTTAGCACAGGGTGCCCTGCACATGGGAATGCTAGACAGCCAAGTAATTGCTCTCCGCCAGGCCTGGGCTAAGCACTTTCTATCCACTTCATTTCATTTAAGCCTCATGAAGTAAACATTATAAATGCCATTTCACAGCCAATCAAACTACAGAAGGGAGAAATCACTTGCCCAGGGAATACAGTCAGAAAGACAGATAAAGCTAACAGGGTCTGATTCCACAGGCCATAGCCCACTCTTTTTGTTTTTTGTTTGTTCGTTTTTTTGAGATGGAGTCTTGCTCTGTCACCAGGCTGGAGGGCAGTGGCGTGATCTTGACTCACTGCAACCTCCACCTCCCGGGTTCAGGAGATTCTCCTGCCTCAGCCTTCCGAGTAGCTGGGACTACAGACACAAGCTACCACAAGCCAGCTAATTTTTACATTTTTAGTAGAGATGGGTTTCTGCCATGTTGGCCATGTGGGTCTCGAACTCCTGACCTCAGGTGATCCACCCACCTTGGCCTCCCAAAGTGCTGGGATTACAGGCATGAGCCACTGCACCCGGCCTACCCATTTAAAAGATGAGGGGCCAGGCACAGTGGCTCATGCCTGTAATCCCAGCACTCCGGGAGGCCGAAGCAGGTAGATCATGAGGTCAGGAGATCAAGATCATCCTGGCTAACATGGTGAAACCCCGTCTCTACTAAAAATACAAAAAAAAAAAAAAAAACAACATTAGCCAGGTGTGGTGGCATGCACCTGTAGTTCCAGCTACTTGGGAAGCTGAGGCAGGAGAATCACTTGAACCTGGGAGGTGGAGGTTGCAGTGAGCCGAGGTCGCGCCACTGCACTCCAGCCTGAGTAACAGAGCGAGACTCCGTCTCAAAAAAATAAACAAAATAAATAAATAAATAAAAAGATGAGAATGGAAATGTCCTGGGAACCAGGCTTAGCTAGAGAGACCCAAGCATTCTCTTCTACCTTGGACACTCACTGCTTCCTTTCATGAGGGCAGGGCCATGGGAAGAAAGCTGGGGACTGGGGAGCAGCATACCTGGCCCTGATGCGCCCCCACCCCATCTTGCTCCTAGCCTGCTCCTGCAACCAGCACGCCCGACGCTGCCGGTTCAACTCTGAGCTGTTCAGGCTGTCGGGCGGCCGGAGTGGGGGTGTTTGTGAGCGGTGCCGCCACCACACAGCCGGGCGGCACTGCCACTACTGCCAACCAGGGTTCTGGAGGGACCCTAGCCAGCCTATGTCCAGCCGCAGGGCCTGCAGGGGTGAGTGTGGCCTGTAGACAGACCTGGGGGGAACAGAGGCGGGGCTAGACTCCTAGGGCTGAGGGAGGAGGGGCTAGGGGCTGGGACTGAGGGCGGAGGGGCTGGGCCTGGACTCCTGGGTCTGA